TGTGAAATCATTGCAAAATAGCTTGACCTAGAAACCCCCAAGTTTTACTTTGAATTATTTGGACCCTCTCTTGGAATGTATTTCATCCAACATCAACTGAAGTTGCTCCTATTATTAATAACAAAAAGGAATTCAACAAGTCAATAAGGCAAGAATGTTCTGTGTGAAATATTACCTAACTTTTAATCAGTCCCATTCTATATATCTTGCAAAAAAAATTCTAAAAAGTTAATGTCACGAGAAGTGAACTTTTTCCTCAAATTGAGTATGGAGAAAAGCTTTTGTACCAAAAGTTTAAGCCTTTGCAAGGGATTAAAATTAGAGGGACAACAACTATGTTGCATGTGAAAAGGGAGAAATGAGAACAGGAAAATCTTTTTGCCCCTGTTTCTAAAAAGGATTAGCATTATATTACATTTTGGACCTTTTGAAATTATTTGTAATTTAGATTGAACAAGATGAACAGGAGCATAAAGAGAAGCGTCAAAGGTTTAGATTTTCGTTAATTTAATTATATTTTAGTTAATTTAATTATATTTTAGTTAAATAATAAACATGCTTTGATGTCTAGTCAAGTTTAGTAAAGTCACTCCTACAAGCATGTCGTTTGGTCTGACGATTTATGCTTTTCGTATTTAAAGACAAATTTACATATTTTTCATGAATACAAAGAAAATTGTACTTCCTGATTGTAGAAACGCAAGAAGCAGAACGAGTAGAACAAACTGGAGAAGGAATTTTTTTTTTCACGGCATTTGATTGTTGCACTGAGTCTCGATAATTTGGATTAGTATCGAAAAGTTTCACATTAAAAATAAAGTACTTTTTAACAAAAAATAATTATCTAGAACTCGAACACGAGACTAATAACTCCACAATAATTGTTGTTGGAGAGAAGGAAATTCACACTCATCCCAAGACCTAGAGAAGCAAATTCACACTCGGTACAGAGTAAGAAAAGCCAAATCTTCAAACTCACACGTAAAATAGTTCTTGCAATATACGAACCTGCACTTTATATGTGCCTTTTAGTCCTCTAGTGGGAATGACTCATTTGATCTGTCTCCTAATTTGGTTCGACATACACTCTTACATGCATATTCCGAAATATAATTTTGACTTTCTAGAGTCCTGGTTGGGGTGTACAAATCAAATCGAAAAATCGTACCAAATCGAAAAGTCAAACCAAACCGATTAAAAAATTCGACTAGGTTTGATTTGATTTGGTTTGGTATTGAGTAAAAAAATTCGAACAAAACCAACATATAAATATATAATTTTTATATATACTTTTAAGATTTTATATAGAATTTTCTTTAAAAATGTCTAGAAATATTTGGGATTCTCTTACGAGATATAGTATTAAATAGAATATGAAGTGCTCCATATTTATTAACCTTAAATAATGGGTTGTATGATTATTTTCTTATTAAGTATTACTAAAATGCGTCAATCTCTTTGTTCTTCCATATTCATCAAGATTTATTAAATTCTTATATCTTTTCGAATTTGAAGTGGTTATTATTATTATTTAGGTATCATCTTGATTTTTATGTTTAGTTACTAAATTTGGTTAACCTTGAAAGTGTATATCAACGAAAATTATTGCCAGACGACTAAAAAAATAACTATCATGTGTTACTAAGAAAATTCTCCTATAAGAATATTTTAATAGATAATATGTGTGTCAAGTTTTTAAATTTTTACTAAACATAAACTTATAAGAAATTTAACAAAGTAATATTAAAATAATATTTAAGTAACAAAAAAACCCGAAAAACCCGACAAAATCGAACCAATCCAAACCGATATAGTTGGTTTGGTTTGGTTTGGTTTTGATAAAATTCGAACCAACCCGATCCATGTACACCCCTAGTCCTGGTTGGATAGCGTGGATAATTTTTTAATTATCCTTTTATATTATGTCGATGGATAAATTTAGAAGAAAATCTAGAATAGTCTTCGCAATTTCAAGGTGAGAAGCTTAAACTAGAAATAGTTCTAGTGCTCTCCTTTAGCATGTATAAATAGTTAGTTTGGTACATGGATAAAGATAATAATTTCGGAATAGAATTTGAGATTAACTTTATCCCATATTTGATTTAGAGTATTATCTAATGCCAGTACAACTTTTACACTAAAGTGGTAAGATTAGTTATCCCATATAAAAGGTGGGATAACTAACCCCATAGGATATCCCACCGTTATATCAAACGACCCTAGGTGAGCTGATACACCTTGTTCTATATATATATTCTGTTAGATTTTTAGTTTGTACATTTAACAAACTGAATTAAATAGATTTTTAAGGTAAACATATAGTACGTGTAAGCGACAAAATTCCTCATCATGACCAGAAAAGAGAATACTTTTCCTTTCTAATAATGCAACTTTTAATTCTCTTTCTGGATTGAGCTTCTCAAGCTAAAGTATGAGCAACACACACACACATATATATATATATATATTGCTGTAGAGATATAGTTTATATGTAGGTCCAAGAGACTGCTTTCCATTGTCGATAGTGACAGCACTGTAAATAAATATCAAACACATTGAATTGATAGCCATACATACAAAAGTACTCATTCACACTGCTTTTAATTTATCTCTAGGTTAGAGAGGGAGAGAATCAAACAGTGTTAATAATAACTACAAAAGGAAAAGGTTAAGGGAATAATGTAATGGGCAGAGTAATGAGAAACTGAGAAGAAATGGTAGAGATAAAGGTAGCCATGCTTTTTTTGATCTCCTGAAAATCCGGTTTCATGATATCTTGTCGGTTAATTTTATTAAACCAGACCTCAACTGTTCTATGGACTAGTGTTAAAGCTTCAATTATGGCCATCTTATTTTTTTTTTAATTTAAAGAAAAAGAAACAACCAGTTTTGACGTAATTTGCAGTAATAAGGTACAAAGTAACTCCAAAAAAATCGTCATAATGATATTGACAAAGCATCTTTCGTCGCGTTCGCTTTCCATTTCAAATTGAAACTATAGAGACACATTATTATGGTTACATAAAATTATTGGATATATAAGGTATACGTAGAAATAGTGTAAAGTTTTGTATATTATTAGTAAAGTTATTAAAGCAGATTAATGGAGTATTAATTTTATCATGTCACAAATTAATGTTAATCATAAAATTTTACTAGTAATTGACTTGTACATGATTTGATATATATGTGAATATTTTCCATACCATTGAATGAAGTTTCAACTCCAAGTTATTTTTGGGTTAGCAATTCTTGATGCAACTTTCATTTGGAATCGCTTTCCATTTCAACTTTCATTATCTCCCTTTTCCTCCCCTACTCCATCCCGGTATAGTGGAACTTTTATAAAATAAAAACAAAGAGTAAAGATGTGACATTATAATCCCCAAGACAAAATACTACTTAAAATTTACGACAAAAACTTCAAAAATCTTCAAGAGCTGTAAGTATTCTTGGATTCCCGACATTCTTTCAGATGTCAGCAAGTATATAGTATATACTATAGAAAAAGCGAGATAATAGCATATGTTTCTGGACTTTAGTATTTAAATATTGGAAGAATGGCGTTACTCAGCACTCTGCAGCTTCTTTTGAATATCTTGATATTTCTTGCAGTCTTTTGCAATGTGCATATGACTTAAAAAGATCTATTTTATGAATTAGTTTTCCCTTGTAGGTATTGACTTATGGCCGAAAAATTTCAAATCATGCATTTGACCTAGACAACGGAGATAAAGTCTTTGAAGGTTGTGACGTGTCAACGTTATGACGTATCAACCTGACCCCAAAAGGTCGAGGTCTTATGAAGAAGGCACATTATCGTCGAGGTGGTTTAGCAGAAGACGAAGACGAGGCGAGCATCCGTCCTCGGCGCACAGTAACGACTAGTTTAAGGATTTAGATTCCCTAGAGAATATTCTAGCGAATATTCCTTTTTGTTGTACTATCTAGTATTTTTGACCCGTGTATCCTTATAAATAAAAAGAGATGTAGTTCTAGAAAGGGGATCGAACATTCTTGTAAAGAAGAACATTGACATTCTCCGTGAAGATTCTCTCTTTATTGAATATATACAAAGTTTACCTTTATACTTCTTTTCCTCTGTCTTTCTCTCCCGATCCAAGAAGAATTAGAATATTCAATCGCTTATCATCATCCATCATTGTCACAAAGTTCAGTGTAAAATCTTACCCTTGTTGGGTGAACATTATTCCATTTTTTACTTAAATGTCATTTATTGCTATTTTTTACTTTCTTAAGTCATTATTGCTCCATTATTAATATAAGACATTCTTATCTAACAACACACGTTTAATATTATTTATAAAAATACTAGATTTGCAACTTGGACATTAATATTGACTTGGATTAACCCTTTTCTCCATAAATCTGCTAATTGTATAAAAACCTAGAACGAAATTTTGGGTTATACATACAACATTAATTTGTACATATGAGTAAAGTTTCCCGGCATATAACTACTCCCAAAATACAAGTATACTGAAAAAACAAGTATGCGAAGTAAAAAATAAACAAACTATGACGTAATATTGTCAATTCTACGTACTATAACTATTAGAGTTTAAATAATTTTAGACTATCATTTCATCTAAGAGATAAATATAGGCAATATTATTAAAAGAGAGATTAGTAGCACTACGAATAAGACAAAATAACTGATACTTGCAAATTAAAAATATACTGCTGATATAAAATAGAAAATCCTACTAACTATTATAGGATTCTCATTCAATAGTGAGCCACATATTTGTATGTCATTATCTACCCCCACCACTAATCCACAACCCCCGTCTCTATGTGAGACCAAAACCTCATGAATGAAGAAACTAAAGTCAGGAAAACAAAAAGTTCTTAAAAGACAAACCAAACCACTTTTCATAAATCAACCTTAAGTGGAGCTTTTCCCACATAAAAAGTCCAAATAAAAGGCCAATATAACCATCTAAGAGAAGGAACTCTTGAATTGAAGAGAGAGAGAGAGAGAGAGAGAGAGAGAGTTTATTAATTCTTTCTCTCCAAAATGGGGATTAGGAACAATTACTCCCATATTGTTCAAGACATGGATCTTTGCTTTCAAGCTCCAAACTTCATTGAGTGGTTAAAACCATCATCTAATTCTTCTTCTTCATCTCCCTCTCCTTCTTCTTCCTCTTCTTCTTTATCCACCATCACTCAACCACAACTGCTAATTCATCATGATCCAATAAATCCCATGACTTTCTTGAAACTTCCTCTCCTTTACAATCCACAAGAAGTTCAAAATATGAACATTAATCAAGCAATTCAATGTTTACCTCTTCTTAACAAATTAACCGATCCGAAAACGGAGAGGAAGGAGGAAGATATTGGGGAAAGAGAAAAGGAGTGTTGTGAAGTGAAGGAAGAAAAGATGGAGAAAGTTACAGTTTCTTTGCATATAGGGCTTCCTGCAGATAGTTGTGATGTTGAAACAAAGCCTTTTAGCTTCAAACAGGAAGAAGAAAATAGAGAGAAAAATAGCAGTAAAATTAAGGGTTGCAAATTCAACAGTGAGAGTAGGTTTTGGATACCAACACCAGCTCAAATTCTTGTTGGTCCCATGCAGTTTGCTTGTAATATATGTAACAAGGCCTTCAATAGGTACAACAACATGCAGGTTAGTCATGAACTTTTTCTTTCTTCTGAATTTTTGTTTGATTTCTCATCTCTCTTTTTTTTTTCCTTTCTGTAAAGGCAGATTTAAAATGAATTTTGTAAATTTAACTAAACTCATTACTTTCTAGTCGAATTGTACGTATACATAGGCACACATGAATAATAAGATTACGCTCATATTGAACTCAATATTGACTCTGGTTCTTCATTTCGTGTCTAATTTTCTTACTAATTGTTTTAATTAATCACAACTTCTATGATAAAAACAACAAACAATGAGATTACATATGCATGAGAAAGTTAATAACTTTTCTTTATTTTGGTTTTAGTATGCTGAATTAAGTGAAGATTATTTCAATCTTCACTTCATCCATGAGTTTTAACATCGGTATATTCTTAAATATATATTACCAACATTTCTCTGTGCTTAAATTTTATTCATCTTATTTCGGTTAATCAATATAAATAAATATCTGAAATACACTGCTGATAACTGCTTACTCGCGCAACAATCAGATTGATTTTTAATCATTTTCTTCTCCTTCTTCTTTAATATGTCCCTATAACTTCATTCCATTAATTATACCTTTTCATAATATCTCCAAGAAAATTGACATAGCTCATTTACAGTCCGCACCTTTTAATTTGTAACAAAAATACTAGACATTATAAACCATATGATTATTCATACTTCCTAGTCCGCCAAGTTTAATTTACATTAACGGTTAAATAGCAAATTGTATATAGTAAAGCTCTTGATCAAGGTGAAGCATTGGACATTGCTGTTATTTGATAGTAGGATTCAGTAGCACTTTTCCAAACTAAGGAACCTTTACACTAGTCGGAATTGTAACTTAAAAAAAAAAAACATAAGGAAAACCGATCAAGAAAATCAAAGGAAATGCATCTGCTGTCCCATATCTTTCTTCTTTTATCTATTCCCTGTTTATTTTGCATCATAATTATTTGAAACATAAGACAGACAACCGATTAGAACAAGTTAAATTACACTTTAGTGTAAAAAAATTATTTACATTGATCCAATGCGGAAATTAATGTATTATGTTTAGTGGGGGAGCCACCTTAATCTAAGGAGTGTCGATCGATACTAGGAAGATTACACTATGTAGTAACTAGATTAAAAATTTATTTTTATGTATATGTATTATATTTTGAATTCACTTAACTTTTTCATATGTTTACTTTTTATATTTTGGCAACAATTAGTAAAATTCCTAGCTCCGCTACTGATTATGTTTACAGATGCACATGTGGGGGCATGGTTCGGAATACAGGAAAGGACCGGAATCACTAAGAGGAACACAGCCAGCAGCAATGCTGAGGCTTCCTTGCTATTGCTGTGCTCAAGGCTGTAAGAACAACATCAACCATCCACGAGCAAAGCCATTGAAGGATTTTCGAACCCTTCAAACACACTACAAGAGGAAACATGGAACCAAAGCATTTAGTTGCAGGAAATGTGGGAAGACATTTGCAGTGAAAGGAGATTGGAGGACACATGAGAAGAATTGTGGCAAGCTTTGGTATTGCATTTGTGGATCTGATTTTAAGCATAAGAGGTCTCTTAAAGATCATATTAGGTCATTTGGTAATGGCCATTCTCCTCACCCTTCTCTTAATGGCTTTGAAGATGACAATTTTAATAAGGAGTGCACTAGTGATGATGAAGTTAATCTCACTAATTAAAGGAAATTATTCTTCAAGAGTAACCAAGAATTTCTCTTTGCTAATTCAATGAAATTCTTGACTACTCTTGGAGTTTACATGTTCCCTTCAAGCCCTTTTTTATTTTTATTTTTTTTGCGTTTTGGTATTTGGAAAAATGTGCAACCCTGGCAATTGGTCGGCAACAAAAAATTCTCAGGCATGGGAGGGGTTTGTTGAGAAGCATTAGCATGGTGGTGAGCATTATTAAGTACTACATATATAGAAGATTGGTTTTTTTTCTTCACTAATATAAATTAGTGTATTTGTAAGAATAAGGTTGATGAGCTAAGTCATGAAGCAGGTGAATTTTCTTCTTTGTTGAGCTACTAAGTTTCTTATTCCCTTGTGATGATGGGGAAAATTTATCAGCTTCATTGCTAACTTTTGTAATATTATTCCATAATGTAATGAGTTCCATTGTTTGTGTCTCCTTATATATCTTGTGCACAATTTTGGCTTTTCGTTTTACTATCTGTATAGATAGCTGCAAATACTTAATACTATCATGAGGTGGAATGACGGAAACCTTTATACAGGTAGAATCATGGGCAAAAATGCAGTGATATATTACGTAACTTTTAACGCAGCCGCAAGCAGTTGTTTCGAAAAACTCCTTTGAGTATATTGGGTTAGAGAAAGTATTTTCAGGCAATGTCGATGTGTCTATAACTGTATATTAGAAATTATTATATTTAAAGAAAAATTGAGAAGCGGTATCGACAGACACCCTTTACAGCGTTTCAGCAGCCCCCTACGTATCTCTAAAAAATTACATGTTTCTTTTTCCATCTTTGATGGTCTGATGATTTATGAGCATAATTAAATAGCTTAACAAAAGGAATTTTGTCGCATATTTATGCTTCCCTATTCTTGGTGAATCTGTAAGCTCAATAATTTCCAAAGCTCATATTTTCATTAGGAAAAAAGAGTGTAGGTCCTAAGGAAACAGCGGCAAGCAGCCTAACAGTCGCAATCCAAATCGAGCACATGAGTTTGAATTCTGATACAATTTTATTTGTATAAACTGATGATACTGTAAAAACAATTGCACAATTAATGTGATTTAATCTAACAGGTTTTCTTCATTATTTTTCACGTAACTAGCTTCAATTAGGATATATGACCTTATAGTGTAAAGATTCTTTTGCACTATTAGTGTATTGAAGTTAAACTAATTTTCATGTGTCGAATGCTCCATCAGTAATAGTTTTTCCTTGTTAACTATGTGAACTATAATAGATTTCTTAGAAGTTGCCAAGTGGGAACGGCTATTATCTTAGCAAAATATGAAGTCAGAAACTTTTGCCTGCATATCAGAGTTTGGGGTAGTACCAAGTTCCCAACATGTATATCGGCTGGTATCATTTCCCCTAGTGTGTGCTTATTTTTCCTACTTTTTTTCTGAACATTCACACCTTAGTTGGAGAAGTTGAACAAGATTATATACATTTTCCTTGTCCAATTTGGGGGGTCTCAATTACTAAAGAAATATATCCTCTTTTTTGTGTACTTTTTACCCTACGTTAGGGGTTGAATCATATCAGCTTTTGGACCATAGCTTTTTGTAAGAGCATGATTACCCTATAAAGAGACTTATTACTATACAGTATTTGCATAGTAGACTTTGATTCTGAATATTACCCTTAGTGGATTTTGCCATCCAAATTATATCAAATGTAATAATATGTTGAATCGCAAAATGGAATAATTAAATAGATGGGGTTCAAAATGGGAAGATTTTCTCTTGGGGTGGGCTTGACTAGATCTGATATATGAAACAAAACTAAATATAAAAAGTTCTTTTTTTTTTTTTGGTTCTCTTTTTCTCTAAATTTGAAAGTAATGGTCAAGAAGAAGGGGTTCTCCACTACGTCTTGTCGGAAGAAAAAAAGAGGGAAAAAAAGAAGAAGGTTTCCATTTCTCTAGTTTTCTTGGCTCCAGCTTACTGGATATTTGGTTTGCATTTTTGTATACCTGCTACTGGAATTATGTCATTTCCTTAAATTTAAACATGATTTGGTTGACTCTACTTTTCTTTTAGAGACAAGACAGTAATATTCTAAATCACATCCAATATGTTTTGAAGCCCATGAGAGATAAAAGTTTATCTCATATTTGAAAGAAAATTTTAACTCCTGTACCAAAGGTTTACCTCCTTATTATTATAAATAAAAGTTCTTTTAAAATATTATTTTCTATAGCTATCTTTTATTTTTTATAGCAAAATATGTATTTATGGTATACACTACCGTTAAGACATTAAATATGTTGTCTAATATTTTTCTCTCTAGTTATTTTCTCCCAAAATTACCGCACAGTATATCTAATTTCTCTCTCCACGATCTCTCTCTCACATCATGTTTGTCTTTCCCATTGTTGAACCACGATTCTCCCCATTGTCTTCCCCAAGCTTTATAGTTCTCTCACAGCGCATTGTCTCTCTCAATTTTCAACTTTTTTTTCTCCAAAAAGTTATGGTAAGTGTTAAAATTTTTGGATTTTTGGCCAGTTAAAGCTTCTTCTTTTTCTCTGCAATAGTTTTTTTAAAAGAATATTCACCATTGTTAGGTTTTCTGTAAAATATTTTAAATTTCCTCTTCAATGGCTGATTCAACAACTCTGAAGAGGTTTACCCGAGGTATACCTGCAGGCATATAAATTTTATTAAAATTAAATTCATAAAATAATTTGGATTATATTTTATAGTTCAAGATATATTGGTCCAAATAGATATTATGGGTTAATATAATTGGATTAATTATATAAATCCAATATATATGGATTAAATAAATAAGTCTTAATCCATTGGGCTAAACCGCTAAAGTGATGAGCCCACTTCATTAGGCCCAAGATGTCATCTTCAAAGAAGCTCAGTTTGGTGCCACACGTGAAATGACGTGGCACGTCAAGTCAAATGGAAGAGCCAATAGGATCATGCTACGTGTCAAAATGACAAGGCATGCCAAGTCACATTAAAAGACTAATGAAACAGCGCCACGTGTGCAAGTGACATGTTCTGGCCAATCAAATGCGGTCATGTCACACTTCAATTTGATTGGTCGGAAAGAGTTTGTTCTTATCACAACTTCTCCCTTCCACAAATATAAATAGGGGTCTTTATAACCCAGAAAAAGACCAGAAGTTATAACAAGAAGCAAGAGAGAGCTCGTGGATCAAACACTGCGAATTCCTCCACAAGTTTCAAGCTCCAAGCAATCAAGTTCAAGTTCAAGAAATCAAGTTCAAGTTTAAGAATGAAGAACAAATCAAGTTTAAGCTCAAGAACGAAGAACAAATCAAAGTCAAGTTCAAGCAACCAAGCTAAAGCTCAAGAACAAGATCATCGTTCGTAGCGACAACTACATATTCAAGATCAAGCTCAAAAGCCCTTGAATTTATTCATTATTGAAAAGAAGAATCAGAGGATTCATAGAGGTTGTACACTCAAATTACTTAAAATCAAATACTACGATTGTTGCAATATTTTTCAGTCTCGATTATTTTCCTGATGCCAACTTATTGTCTACAAATTATGGCACACCCAGTGGGACAATCTCTACCTCTCATCTCAACTTTTCAATCATCAAAGTTCAAGAACATTGAAATGGATTCAAAGAAAATCAACTCCAGTTCAACTTCCACCAAGGCTGCTAATTCCAAGTTCTATGCTGATGTGGAAAGCATCCTCGATGTTACCTTTGGAAGCTTTGGACCAGTTACGAGGAGCAAAGCAAGCTCGTTAGGACAACAAGCACCCCAAGTATCGTCTGCATCAACCCCTGTTTTCGGATCTTCATCCTCAAAAGGAGCAAGATCTTTCACAAACGCACCCGAAGGAGGAAGCGATGTTGCTGAAAAGATCAAGAAAACTCTTGCTCTGCTTGACCTCTCCGGATCCAAGCACTCTGCTATGAAGGAAGATGATGATGCTTCAAGTGATGGATCCTCCCCACTTACACCACATAGCGTGAGCTAATCAAGGATCAATCTGTGTGAAAATCCATGCTACTCTCCATCGTCCACGACAATCATGCAAGCCATGGTGACAAACACTTCATTTGTGGAGGAGCAGTTGGCAAACTTGACGAAAGCAATCGCTGGCTTGACCGAGTGCATGCAAAATTAAGATTCTAGAATCGACAAGCTAATAGATAAGGTGGGAATCTTGATGGAAGAAGAATCCACCCATGCACCTGGCAAACTCCCAGAAGTTCAAGAGATTGATCCTCCCCCACAACAAGTTGCATCCACTAAGGAAATTCCAGTCTCTTCGGAAGGGATGATTCAAATCAATCAACTAAAGGAGTTCATTGAAGGGACTATAAAAAACAAGTATGAAGTTGCTGCTAAGTCCTCCCTTACATACGTAAAGCCGTACACTGCAAGGATCGATATGTTGAAGATGCTTGCTGGCTATCAACCTCCAAAGTTTCAACAGTTTGATGGTAAAGGCAATCCAAAGAAATATGTGGCGTACTTCGTTGAGACATGAAACAACGCTGGGACTTATAGAGATTACCTTGTCAAACAGTTTGTCCGCTCGCTAAAAGGAAATGCTTTTGATTGGTATACAGACCTCGAGGCGGGATCTATTGATAGCTGGGATCAATTAGAGCAAGAGTTTCTCAATAGCTTTTATAGCACAAGGCGCATTGTGAGCATGGTGGAACTCACAAATACTCACCAACAAAAGGGTAAACCAGTCATTGACTTTATCAATCATTGGAGGAATGCAAGCCTCAAATGTAAAGACATGCTTAGTGAAGCTTCTGGCATAGAGATGTACATCCAAGGCATGCATTGGGGATTGCGCTACATCTTGCAAGGTATCAAGCCTAGCACATTTGAAGAACTTGCAACTCGTGCCCATGACATGGAATTGAGCATGGCCTCTGCTGGAAATGAAAGGCTGCCCATCTATGAATCTCGCAAAGGGAACAACAAGCAAGAAGTCAGGAAGTGGGGCAAGTTTGTACCCAAGTCTGAAAGCAAAGAAGCTATGAATGTCAACACATCACTTGTAAAGTTCACGATGAAAGTGAGCAAGAAGCAGAGTATGAAATCCACTTCTTTTCAAGATAAGCCAAGTGAAAAGTTGACTCTAAAAGAAATGCAAGAGAAAGAGTACCTATTTCTGGATTCTGATGTGCCAGCTATTTTTGAAGAACTCCTCGAGTTAAATCTCATTGAGCTTTCGGAGATGAAGCGACCAAATAAAGCTTGGAAAACAAATGACACGAATTACTGCAAATACCATCGACTTGTGAGCCACCCTATGGAGAAGTGCTTTGTCTTCAAGGATAAAGTTATGGACTTGGCTCACGAAAAGAAGATCGTGCTTGAGGATGAGAAAGCAAGCACAAACCAAGTCTCTATCACCTTTGGCTCATTCAGTCCGGATGAATTATGTGGTTTTAAAGAAAGTAAA